AATGGATACATGCTCTTGGAACAAGGATCCAATCAATGCGGCATCACCAACATGGCTTCCTATCCCATTCCATAACCAGCCAAGTGGACCGTTTGAGAAACAGGACAAAAAAGCTAACTGCGGCATTGGAAGCTTCTGGAGAACCAGAAATATATATACAGTATATGCTAAAACCAATAAATGCTTTTATGCAATGCTATCTAGCCTGGCACTTGACTTTTTTATGATGTGTTTGAGTTGAGTGGGCACCACGGTAGTATAAATGCTGGCATGTTTTCTGAGGGAATTCAGAACGTTTGAGGCTTCTGGGCTGTTAAAAAGCATGTAAACATTTAAAGGTATATGATTTTGTTGAAAGAAAAATCTTCATCAGGGTCCAGTCCAAGCCGGGAATAAACAAAATGGAGACTGCTTTAAGAAAGAAGGTTCTTGTTTATTGAGTTACCAGAAACGTCAGTGATAGCAGCATGTTTCTGGGGTGGATGACCACATGGTGCTGGGAGTGGTGGGTTTTTATACCTTCTTGGGCTTTTGTCTTTGGAGTTGTTCCTGTTCCCGTGGCATGAACTTTGACCTGAGGTTCAGTGTGCCCTTTTGGTATTCTGATGGTGGTGGGTTAACCCTATTATGTCTTAAAGGTCATGTCCTGTTTCCCTGGGGCTGTGGCTGATGGCTTACTTCCTATATTGTATTTTTTGAGTGAGGGGATGCTGGTTCTAATCCTATCACTATTGTTAGCTATCAGTTTTGCTCCAAGGGATTTCGAAAGATCCTGTCTTGAGTGGGTTTATGCAGGCAGTATTTGCTCATGAATGGGGCCTTAGACTTCCTCAATGGGATTATCACATCTGCATTTCTACAGAGCTGGCCTGCTGAGTTTCTGTTTGGGGTTACTAAGAAAACCTGGGCCTGCTTTCCTTTGGGGAAATATAATATTCTGCCTTTTTAATATTCCCCAAAATATTTCCCTCTCTCTCTCTCTGTGTGGGGCTGACTTCCCACAATTTCATGATATCGCTTGAAGGTATAGAACAGGGGTGTCCCACCTTGGAAACTTTAAGACTTGTGGACTTCACGGATCTTAACGCTGCCGAGACTGGACCCCCCTGTTCTAAACTTTTGAAGTGATTATCATGAAATGGTATGATAGGGCTGGCTGGGGAATTCTGGGAGTTGAAGTCCACAGATCTTAATGTTGCCAAGGTTAGACACCCCTTTTATTGAGGTTTAATACAAATCCAGTTTCGGATAACTTTCAACAAGACAGCTGTTGAGACTCCTCTGATTCTCATTCATCACCTGCAACAGCTGTCGGTAACCGAGCAACTAACAGCCGCTATGCCCAGATACCGTTTCCAACATGCGTGATGGCATATAGGTCACTGTGGCTCATATCAGACAGGATATGATTGGTTGGGTCCTTGGTGCTCTCTGAGCTTGGTTGTCTTCTTGCAGACGTTTCATTACCCAACTAGGTAACATCATCAGTGCTGGCCTGATTTGGATATGATTATTAACTTTTCAACTCCTAC